CGCGCATCCAAGTCTCTTAAAGAAAAAGCAGAGAAAAGGCGCGGGCGAGCGGGAGCGGGTGGGCCCGGGCGGGTGCGGGTGGGAAGGCGAGTCGGAAAGGGGGCCGTTGGGGTGACCTCAGCCCAGAACTGGCCCCCAGTTGCCAAGGTCGTTCGACATCCTGGTGGTGCGCTCCTTCTTTGTACCCGGGGGCGCCGGGCCCGCCCGCCTGGCCGGTTGGGGGGCCCGGCGGCCAGGTGGCGTCCCCGCCCCCTCGGACCTTTCTTGGAAGGTCGAGACCCCCAAAGCAAAGTTCCCACGGGCCGGGCCTGCCACCGCCGCGGAACGGCGTTCGGCAGCTGCGACATTGGCCCAGTCGGGCCTGCCTAAAAACTTGGCAAACTTCGGTCCGGAACCTCCCACCCGGAGGGAGAACTCGAGGCGAGCTGAGGGCTTGGCCTGACGACCTTTCATTTCTTGCAGCTCTCTGAGACCCAACGCTAGCGTGCTCGGCGGGGGGCCCCCGGAGCCCAGGCCGCTGAAAAGCCCGTTTGGTCCAAGCCAGGCCTCTTGGAGGACTTTGTATAGCTTGGTACCCGAGTTTTAATGCTTTTTCAGTTTCTTTTTCAACAGTATTAATGCAATAAAGAATGCAATAAAAAGAACAAAGGACAAATTGGTTCAATTGTTTTAGTCCTGTGTAATGTTTAAAAACGCCCCTGCTTCGGTCTATGCCTTGTTATTGCTTCAAGATGTTTTAAAGGCCCTTTAAGTTCACTATTCTCACTTTGATGCTTCATCTCGGCACGGTAGAACTTAAAAGGTCGTGATACAGAGTTTTCTGAGCCCCAACATGTAGCTACACAGTGTTATAAAATTAGTACCGGGTAACCTCAAGTAGTGAAATTACATATTGTAAAAAATGCCGGTACATGAAAGACCACGTGGAGAACACCCAGAAATGGGGTTGCTTCGTGTGGCACCCTAAGATTAAACCTTAAGATGTTAAAGAATGAAAGGATTCCTTTTTTTAGCGAATTAGAAAAGCAAGAAAAAGGTGGAATCCCTGGCTATTGCCAATTGTAATTCATTGATGACTGACATCATTAAATATCTGATTGGACACTTTAGATTTGTATTCACTGGAAAAGTGTTAGTGATGACTGATGGAATTGTTTGCATTCTGTGTCTGGCTGGTAGTAGGTTCCAAAAATACAGACTTCGCTCAAGAGACATGGAATGATGAAATCGTATACACATAAATGCTATTTTTTACATTGTTCTGTGGGTGTGGACCCAAAGAAGAGTGAAAAAGGTCTAGCTGAAAAAAGTGTGATTGAAGATAAGAAGGGAGTGGTTTTGATAGGAAAGATGGGGGAGGGAGGAGAAAAGTCATAAAATTGGTTAATTAATAAACACTCTGTTCAGTGCCTTGTGGCAGGCAACTCAAACTTAACACAGCTGGTACAGAACTGAACCCATCCAGTGAAGGGCACCATCATTGTCCGGATACCCAAACCAGAAGTCCCTGAAGTCCTGGCATCTCACCCTTTTGCTAAGATCAAGTGCAGAAGTACCTGAAGTCAGCTGTGACTCCTCCCTGTCTCTGGCTGCACATAGGCCATGGGGCACTGAATCCTAGACCTCAGTCACTACCTGGGTTGCTGCCTTAGCCTGGCCTACTGCCACAGTGCCTGCCCACCTTCCCCACCCCCCCATGTAGCATGGCTAAAAATGGGAAAGGGATTGGAGCAAAGGAAGAAGAATGCCTTTTCTTAAATGCAGACCTAAGATTCATCAGTCCCTTTAATGACTTCCTCGTGTCCAAGGTTTGTGCTGGCTTCCACCTGTCTCTATAGACTCCTCTGTTCTCCCTCCCATTCTCTTCTCTGGCAGCACTGAGCTTCTTTCCTCCCGCCCCCTCCTCCTTACTCTCCCGACCTCTAGCCTTTAGCACATGCTCATTTTGTTAGGTAGACTCGCCTTCGTTCCAAACCTAATTTCTGATCTTTATTCTCATGTCCCTAAATTCTATTCATCTTTGAATCTTGACTGAAATGACATTTTCTCCAAATATATCTTATCTTACCAGCATTCCTCACCCACCCTTGGATAAGTGGAGATGTTCCTCTTTGGGTTTCTGATAGCCTTTGTGCTTTATTTTTTCTTGCAACTGATTATTTAACAATCTGTAGCATTGAAATAGAAACTATGAGGAAATGGACCTTGTCTTTTCAGCAAAATTGTATCCCCAGGGTCCAACTGTTCAATAAATATTTGTAAGGCGAATGCATTCAAGATGAATTGAGAAGGAGAAATGGTTTATAGGTGAAGTGATGAGTGCAGGAATCTGGGTGACTAGTGGCGATGACTGTGCCTTGGAAATAGTGAAGAGGAAAAAGAGGAAATTTCCTCTACTGAATGTTTTTAAACATCATGCGATGATCAAAGTAGAGACCATGTTTTTAAACCGATCACTAGCAAAGCGCCTGGCGCCTGGTCCTTATGGTAACTACCCACTCAGGTTTATTTTAGAGCAACATCTGCTCCAGAAAGGACGACTCTCCCTGGCTCCAGGAGAACTTTGTTACTCTCAGCTAATCTGCAGTCTTTTGTCAGTGATTGACTGAAGAGTACATGTGTGACCTAATTCTGCTTCTGGGACCTGAAGAGGAGTGTGCTGGCGCTTTTGGGAAATATTTCTTCTCGAGGAGGGGAAACTTAACCCCCTCCCCCCCAAAGGTTTGCTTTGGAAGTTGAAATGTGAGGATGTGACACTGGGAGCTATGGCAACCATCTTATCACCATGAGGAAAACTCCAAAGGCTCACATTTCATTAGGAAGAGCTGTTTACTCACCATTCCTTTTCAACTTCAGTGTTCCTTTTCAAGAATGACTTTCTTGGCCACGCAGTCTAAAACACCCCTTCCAATCCTCATTTACTGTCTAGTTGCTCCATTTCACTTTCTTCTGAAATGTATCCTTCACTAAAGTTACTTTCCTATGTTGGTTGCTTTGTTACTTCTTTTCCACTTTAGGACCCTGCGTTTCCTCAAGGAAATCTTGTCCTATTCCGCCCTTCCCCCCCCCCCCAAACTCCTAGAACAAATATCTGGCAAATACAAAGTGTTGCACCAGTATTTGTTAACTCAGACCACCAAAGACACTATGCTGAGACTGGGGCTCAGAGAACATAAGCAACTTTGGACTTCTGTTTTCTCTCTATTGCTTCTTGCATAGTTCAGTTTCAGGTGATTTTGTTCTCAAACACAAATCCATACACTGGAGAGTCCTTCCTCAATCTTTTTCAGAGTTTTTCCATTTCTTCCCCAGGAAATTTCTTCATTGCATGATGGACCAAGTTATGAAGGCAGAAAAGTATCATGGGCATGGGCTTCCGGAATTACGAGCAACACAGATACATCGACCATAAAGGAAAAGAAAGTCATGTGCCTTTTTGCCCCTTTCCTGAGATAGAATTGATGTAGAACATATGCAAATTTAAGGTATACAATCTGATGATTTGGGGCATAGACACTGCATAATGTCTACCACAGAGGGTTAGCTAATTACCTTTGTTGTGTACATGGTAGTAACGCTACTCCCTCAACAATTCGCAGGTATATAATAGTGTTATTAATTATAGTCACCATACTGTACACTGGGTTCTCAGAGTTTATTCACCTTACAGCCAGAAGTTTGTACTCTCTGACTTTATCTCCCTCTTTTCCTTACAGCGGGCAACCAACGTCCACTCTCATACTCAAATAGAAATCCTTCTGTCTACTTCTATGAAGTCAGCCTATCTAGACTCCACAAATAAGTGAACTTTTACAGTATTTGAGTTTCTCTACCTGGCTTAATTTAGCCTCATGCCCTCAAGGTCCATACTTATTGTTATTGCCAAAGGCAAGATTTTCTTTTGCCTAAATGAGTATTTTTCCATTATATATATATGTATTTCTTTAGTGGTTCATTGATGGTATTTCCACTTCTTGATTATTGTAAATAATCAAGTACCTTTGGGATAATAACCCTGGTATTCAGGGAAGTTGAGAGACAATATTACTGCCTTAATCATAGAACTGCAGAATATATTGAGTAAAATTTAGAAAAGGACATTGCTTTGAAAATCAAAAGGACAAAAAGGTCAAACCTATCTCTTCAAAAAAATACAAGGGTTCTTGTACTTTGATACAAGCTTGGTCTTTGTCTTCAAGGAGCTTACAGAGTGTGAAAGAATTCGTATCAGGTCAGGAAATACCTAAAAGTCTTTATGGAAGAGATGATATCAGTGTTAGCCCATCATGGCTAGAAGGACGGGGTTCCACTCTGCG